AAATTAGAATATCATTCAAAAGTTCATTTATTTCAGTAATGCAATGTAAAAAGGGAAACTAATATATGAGATAGACGCATTACATGCAAGTTAGTTCAAGCCGTGATTTGTCATAAGTGCGATGATTATGGCTTACAGCTCATGAAAACCCCAAATCCACAATCTTAGTAAATTAGAATATTGCATGCAATCAATAAAACAAGGAGTGTACATAGAACAATGTCGGACCTCTGAAAAGTATAAGCATGCATATGGACTCAGTACTTTGGTCCCCTTTTGCATCAATTACTGCCTCAATGTGGCGTGGCATGGAAGCTATCAGCCTGTGGCACTGCTGAGGTGTTATGGAAGACCAGGATGCTTCAATAGTGGCCTTCAGCTCTTCTGCATTGTTCGGTCTCATGTCTCTCATCTTTCTCTTGGGAATGCACCATAGATTCCCTATAGGGTTCAGGTCAGGCGAGTTTGCTTGCCAATTAAGCACAGTAATCCCATGGTCATTGAACCAGGCTTTGGTGCTTTTGGCAGTGTGGGCAGGTGTCAAGTCCTGCTGGAAAATGAAGTCAGCATCCCCATAAAGCTCGTCTGCAGAAGGAAGCATGAAGTGCTCCAAAATCTTCTGGTAGACGGCTGCGTTGACCCTGGACTTAATGAAGCACAGTGGACCAACACCAGCAGATGACATGGCTCCCCAAATTAACACAGACTGTGGAAACTTCACACTGGACTTCAAGCATCTTGCAGTGTGTGCCTCTCCATTCTTCCTCCAGACTCTGGGTCCTTGGTTTCCAAATGAGATGCAAAAGTTGCTCTCATCGGAAAAGAGGACTTTGGACCACTGAGCAACAGACCAGGTCTGTTTTTCTTAAGCTCAGGTAAGGCTCTTCTAACGTTGTTTGTTGTTCAGGAGTTGCTTGACAAGAGGAATACGACATCTGAAGCCCATGTCCAGAATCCGTCTGTGTGTGGTGGCTCTTGATGCACTGACTCCAGCCTCAGTCCATTCCTTGTGAAAGGTCGGGGGCCCCAAATCGTTGCCCAGCAATACATCGATGGGTATGTCTTTCATTACCCCATTTTTTTACAGTACTGGCTCCTGCACCCCTATCCAAGTGAACCTGGGCAGTAGGGATCGCTCCCCCAGCCACCCGAACTGCTGCTGACTTTCCGGGGCACTCATTATTGCTGAGCAGGTGCCTTTGGATCAAAGTGATGGTGGCCCTGGTGTCTTGGAGGCCCTGGGTAGTCTTGCCATTAACCATCACCAACTGGCGATGATGTTGCCGGTTGTCCGTGTTGGCCGCCTGTACTGGGTCAGCTTTGTGAAGGAACCTCAGTGGTTCTTCCCGACTCAGCTCCCTTGCTTCCCATGTGGTAGGGATGGGGTAGTCCACACAGTGTTGTTGAGGAGCCAACTCGTAAAGAGGCCATACTAGATTTAGTGTTAACAAATGGAGATTTGGTATCAGATATTACTGTAGGTGAAAGTTTAGGATCCAGTGATCATCAGTCAGTGTGGCTTAATATAAGAACAGTGACTGAGTCACACCACACAAAAACAAAAGTTTTAGACTTTAGAAAAGCAGACTTTTCTAAAATTAGAATATGGGTAGAGGAGTCATTATCAGACTGGAGCAATTTAAATGGAGTCCAAGAGAAATGGGATTATTTAAAAGTTGCACTATTGAAGGCAACAGAAAATTGCATTAGGCTTGTCAGTAAAAGCAAAAAATTCAAGAAACCACTGTGGTACTCCGCAGATGTGGCCAAAATAGTTAAAAACAAAAAGTTAGCATTTAGGAATTATAAAAAAACCCAGAGTGAGGAAGACAAAATGATCTATAAGATTAGGCAGAAAGAGGCTAAGCAAGTTATAAGAGCTTCCAAATCACACACAGAAGAGAAAATAGCACAGTCAGTAAAAAAGGGGGATAAAACATTTTTTAGATACATAAATGGGAAAAGAAAAGTAAAACAAGGATTAGTTAGATTAAAAACAAAAGAAGGAAGGTATGTAGAAGAGGATAAAGGTCTAGCTGACTGCCTCAATGAATATTTTTGTTCTGTATTTACAGATGAAAATGAAGGAAAGGGACCTCAGTTGAGAAAAAGGATAAATGAGTCATTTATTACACGTGAGTTTACAGAGGAAGAGGTTCTATTTCAACTGTCAAAAGTAAAGACAAATAAGTCAATGGGACCTGATGGAATACACCCAAAGCTATTAAAAGAGCTTAGTGGTGTACTAGCAAAACCATTAACAGATTTATTTAACCAATCATTGTTAACAGGAGTAGTCACAGAAGATTGGAAGTTAGCGAATGTTGTGCCCATTTACAAGAAAGGTAATAGGGAGGAGTCGGGCAACTATAGGCCAGTAAGCCTTACTTCAGTAGTGGGGAAAGTGATGGAAACCATATTAAAGGATAGGATTGATGAAAATCTAAAAACACATGGATTTCAAGATCAGAGACAACATGGGTTTACTTCAGGGAGATCATGCCAAACTAATCTTATTGATTTTTTTGATTGGGTAACTAAAATTATAGATCAGGGTGGTGCAGTAGACATTGCTTACCTAGATTTCAGTAAGGCTTTTGACACTGTTGCACATAGAAGGCTTATCAATAAACTGCAATCTTTAAGTTTGGATTCCAATATTGTTGAATGGGTAAGGCAGTGGCTGAGTGACAGGCAACAGAGGGTTGTAGTTAATGGAATATATTCGAAGCTTGGACTTGTCACCAGTGGGGTACCTCAGGGATCTGTACTTGGACCCATTCTCTTTAATATTTTTATTAGTGATATTGCAGAAGGTCTTGATGGTAAGGTATGTCTTTTTGCTGATGATACTAAGATATGTAACAGGGTTGATGTTCCAGGAGGGATAAGCCAAATGACAAATGATTTAGGTAAACTAGAAAAATGGTCAGAATTGTGGCAACTGACATTTAATGTGGATAAGTGCAAGATAATGCATCTTGGACGTAAAAACCCAAGGGCAGAGTACAGAATATTTGATAGAGTCCTAACCTCAACATATGAGGAAAGGGATTTAGGGGTGATTATTTCTGATGACTTAAAGGTAGGCAGACAATGTAATAGAGCAGCAGGAAATGCTAGCAGAATGCTTGGTTGTATAGGGAGAGGTATTAGCAGTAGAAAGAGGGAAGTGCTCATGCCATTGTACAGAACACTGGTGAGACCTCACTTGGAGTATTGTACACAGTACTGGAGACCGTATCTTCAGAAGGATATTGATACCTTAGAGAGGGTTCAGAGAAGGGCTACTAAACTGGTTCATGGATTGCGGGATAAAACTTACCAGGAAAGGTTAAAGGATCTTAACATGTATAGCTTGGAGGAAAGACGAGACAGGGGGGATATGATAGAAACATTTAAATATATAAAGGGAATCAACACAGTAAAGGAGGAGACTATATTTAAAAGAAGAAAAACTACCACAACAAGAGGACATAGTCTTAAATTAGAGGGACAAAGGTTTAAAAATAATATCAGGAAGTATTACTTTACTGAGAGGGTAGTGGATGCATGGAATAGCCTTCCAGCTGAAGTGGTAGAGGTTAACACAGTAAAGGAGTTTAAGCATGCGTGGGATAGGCATAAGGCTATCCTAACTATAAGATAAGACTAGGGACTAATGAAAGTATTTAGAAAATTGGGCAGACTAGATGGGCCGAATGGTTCTTATCTGCCGTCACATTCTATGTTTCTATGTTTCTATGTTTCTATGTGTGCCTCTGCCTGTGTGTTGGAGATCCCCGACAGGGTCAAACACAGCGAGTTGAGTTGATGCCAAAGAGCTCGATATTTGTCTCATCTGACCACAACACTTTTTTTTTTATTCTTTCTTTTTGTAGTGCGGAGATATAGTGCAGGTTGGCAAGAGGTACCCCATACCACAACACTTTCATCCATTGGTTTCCTGGTCCCAATTACAATACAAACAAATAAGTATAGTTAAAAACCATATACCACCGGGGGCGCCACAATCACAAACATGTGAATATATTTACCACATAGTATTCATGGGTAATCATGTAAGGAGATAAAAACAAAAATATATATAGTGAAGTATTTAATAGCAAGTAAAACAGAATAATAAAAACAAGTGTGTTTTTGTTTTTATCTCCTTACATGATTACCCATGAATACTATGTGGTAAATATATTCACATGTTTGTGATTGTGGCGCCCCCGGTGGTATATGGTTTTTAACTATACTTATTTGTTTGTATTGTAATTGGGACTGGGAGTGATCCCTATTTCGGTGTGACTAGCCTGCAGTGTATTTTGCACTTTTTCCCACTTACTGCCCCTCTTTTACATTTATTGGTTTCCTGGTGACTATGGTCCCAGCTGCCTTGAGATCATTAACAAGTTCCTCCCTTGTAGTTCTGGGCTGATTCCTCACAGTTCTCGTGATCATTGAAACTCCACGAGGTAAGATATTGCATGGAGCACCAGACCGAAGGAGACTGAGAGTTATTTTGTGTTTCTTCCATTTGCGAATAATCGCACCAACTGTTGTCACCTTCTCACCAAGCTGCTTGGCAATGGTCTTGTAGCCCATTCCAGCCTTGTGTAGGTCTACAATCTTGTCTCTGACATCCTTGGACAGCTCTTTGGACAGCTCCTTGGCCATGGTGGAGAGTTTGGAATCTGATTGATTGCTTCTGTGGACAGGTGTCTTTTACACAGGTAACGAGATGAGATTAGGAGCACTCCCTTAAAGAGAGTGCTCTTAATCTCAGCTCATTACCTGTATAAAAAGACACCTGGGAAGCAGAAATCTTGCTGATTGTTAGGGGATCAAATACTTATTTCACTTATTGACATGCAAATCAATGTATAAAACTTTTTGATATGCGTTTTTATGGATTTTTTGGGGGGTATTCTGTCTCTCACTAGTGATGTCCCGAACGGTTCACCATGGACGGCGAACATAAGCAGAAACTTTGACCCTGTACCTTACAGTCAGCAGACACATTCCAGCCAATCAGCAGCAGACCCTCCCTCCCAGACCCTCCCACCTCCTGGACAGCATCCATTTTACATTCATTGTGATGCTGCATTCTTAGTGAGCTGTCCAGGAGGTGGGAGGGTCTGGGAGGGAGGGTCTGCTGCTGATTGGCTGGAAAGTGTCTGCTGACTGCGAGGTACAGGGTCAAAGTATATGTTTATGTTCGCCGTCCGTGGCGAACCGTTCGTCGAACCGTTCGGGACATCACTATCTCTCACTGTTAAAATACACCTACCATTAAAGTTATAGACTGATCATTTTTTTGTCTATAGACGTTCAAAATCAGCAGGGGATCAAATACTTTTTATCCTCACTCTAAATGGTATTACACATGGAAAATCAGTGCAGGGGAGTAATTAATCAAGCAATAACAATGAGGGAAGCAATAAGGAAGGTTTAAATTGTCAATCATGATTACAACAACCTGAAACACTTAAGCATTAGATCATGGAATCAATAAATAAGGAATAAGATGCGATGTTTACCCTTACTTGGGTGATATTCTGACAAACTTTATTAAATGATTTATTGTGTGTAATTGTTTGAGTATTGCCAATTTCGGTGTGATTTTTTTCAATAGCCCAAAAATCACCTTAACGGCCATACAAAGTCAATATTAGGGGACTGCTGTACAGCTTTATGAAACACAATTACATTTCAGAAAAAATAGATAATTTGATCAAAGATACCAACTGTAAGTGTTTTCCAAGAGTCTTTTTTTGTTATATTGTTGTCATTTGACTGGTCTTTGGAGTTGTGCATCTTGGGAATTCAAGCAGAGCAATCCAAATAAATGTGTTTATTTTTTATTGTACTGGTGTATTTGCATCACAGACACTATGAATGGTGAACGAGAGGCATGATACTTTCCCAGAAACAACGTCCAGTCAAGACAAATATTAGCAGGTTCTATGATAACATACTGTAGTAACATAGTAGTCTAGGTGGAAAAAACCTAGACTGCAATGTAAAAAAAAACATGTAGTTCAACCTTTAAACACATACTTTTATGCTCTTGATCCTAAAGAAGGCAAAAAACTTAAATTGTAATTATATCAGAAAAAGAGAAAAAAATTCTTCCTTGACTCCATAATGGAAATCAGATATCTCTTTTGATCAACAACGTGTTAACATACATATTATTTATATCCTTGAATATTCTATTTCAAAAAAAGCATCCAAGCCTTTAAATAAATAAAAATATAAATAAATAATATATATATATATATATATATATATATATATATATATATATATATTTGTATAATCTGATAAGACAAGCTCTTTAGGTGGAGAATTCCACATACTTATTGCTCTTGCAGTAAAAAACCCTTTCATCTTCTGTATGCAAAAACGCCTTTCTTCCATTCTCAATATTCTTGTCTGTTGTATATTCCTAGTAATGAACAGGTTAGAACATAGTGATTTGTACTAAACCTGTAGATATTTGTATTGTGCTATTATATCCTCATTGATGTGCCTTTTTTTCTAAAGAAAACAAGTGCAGTTTTTCTAATCCTTCTTCATAACTAATGTTTTTAATCTCCTTTACTAATTTTGCGGCTAGTCTATGCATTTTTTTCTAGTTCTGCAATAGATGTGGTCATTGTATATTTTCTGCCTAATTTTTGTGACTTCTTTATACATTGTGATCATACCCTTTTTCCAATTTTATTATTCCCACTGCAGATACCCCCAAAGTATGTATTGTCTTTTAACTTTAAGCCCCATGGCAAACTGGACAATGTTTTTAGAAAATCATTGATTGATTGAAAGTCAAAAACAATGCTTTTAATTTGATGAAAAATTTAATTATTTGTACATTTAGTCTCATGAGCATTAGACAATATTATGGAGTAATAAGAAGAATCTTGAGATTCAGGTTTGATTATAGCACGCATAAGTATCATAATGAGAGGAAAACATACAAATTTGAAAGACAAAATATATTAAAGGCAATTTGTCCAATGAGTATTTCAATTATTACAAATGCAATAGATATATGCAAATACAAAATTAGAGGGCGTTTGTTCTTATTCTTTATATTATCTCTTAATATTTTAGGTAAATAATGCTTTTAGTCCACCTATTTTAAACAAATACTAAGAATTTTTCACATGAAGCATGTTATCTTTGTAGGCTTTTATTAAACAATTTAATCCTTGGCAGAATACTTCTCAATAACATCCAAACATAAGAAAATGAAAGTCTCTGTAATGCTGTATTTTCCATTAGAATGGTGTTTTACAGACAAAATAAACTCCCCAAACTATAGTATAATTTCATGGTTACTTGAATCCTCAGAATAAAACATAATCCTCTCTTCTATTACCAGGGTTTACTTTCAAGACAAACTTTTGGTTGGCCAAAGGTGGTTTTTCATTTTAGAATATTCTCATTTTCATGGTTTCACAGAGTTCCAGACTTGTTTGGAACCAAGATATTTTGTAATGGAATAATGAACACTGTACATGCATAGCATCATACAGAAAGTGTATTGATAAATTTCCATTGAGAGGGCAATTATCGCAACTGTTCAGTCTTTAAAGATAGTCAATTAAATAAGTGCCAGTCTTTTGTATGGGTGACTGCCTATTTTCCATCATCTACAGAGTTTCACAACTGTCTATTTACAAACTTCCCATCTATCTATTGCTTTTCTTGCTTTTCCTGTCTAGGCTGAAATTGTTGATTTAAATTTTGACATAAATGGATGAAAGGTTAAAACACTGTTTTGTTTTTTTTTGACTCCGTATTGTCCTTTACAAGGGTTATTCACTAAAGTGAGAATTTAATGGTGAATTCCAAGTGAATTTAAAAATTAAGGTTAAAAATAACAGAAATGGAAAAATTCTGTGTCAGCTATGCTTTCAGTTCAATTACTCTAGTCTTAAGTTTGAAATTCACTTAAGTAACCTTATTTAAAAGAGAATTCAAAATGAATTCAAAATGAATTTCGAATTTAAGGCCAGAATAGCGGAATTGGAAAAATACTCAAATTTTTTTTAGTTTTCCATGTGTCTTAAAAATGACCTCTTCCCCAGAAAGTTAGACATTGCTTATCTTTCCAAGAATCAATCCATTATTTACAAATACATTTATTTATGATATTCAAAGTCTTTAATGATCTACATGAAATATTAATTAATAGAATGCTACTGTCTGATGATGTAGCTCTGGCATATTTTTTAAGGAAAAGAAATACAAGCCCAACCTAAATATTACATTATACTTAGTATTAGTACTGATAATAATGTCAAGAATAATAATGAAAATAAATACTTTGCTTAATATAGATATTAGGACAGTATACCCCTTATGTTGCTACAAGACATTGACGTGAAAATCACAAATGGAAGCAACATGACGTGCTTTGGCTGTTTCCGGCTTCCTGAATAAATCTTGGAATTGCAGTTTGAAACTGATTTGAGAGCTACCTGTTAGCAGCTCCTTATAATAAGTATATTGCAGTTCCTTAGCTCCAGGCATACTCCAGAAAATTAGTCCCATTCTTTTTATTCCTTCACCATCTTTATTCAGAGCATTACATGACAGTGAAAATGATTATAAGCTCTGAAAGTTCAGTCAATACAGAATTCTTTTTGATGAGAATACTACATTAATATGTTGCAACAGCTGGTATTTTCGTGTCAGTGCACATTTTATAGATCACACAGTGCTTTTGGGAGTTACAGCTCTTGATAACTTTGTGATGTAAATGGGTAATCAAGGGTAATACTTTCACATGAGAATTCAAAACAAGAGAGGGGTATGTTCTAGTTCTTTCTAAACTCTAATCATTAATAAAATATGATTTTTCTTTCATTACAATGCAATTGTAGTCTTGAAACTGATTTCTGTTGGTTAGAACACAAAAATTAGAGAAATTAGATCATTAACAACATTTATTTGCAAATGATTTTTAAATGAGACTGTTTGTGACAAGCCCCCCAAACCCAAAAACAAATATAAATGAAAATTAAATCTGTCTAGCAATATCCCTTTTCATACAAAATATGACAAGAAGTATAAAAAAGAAAGAACATTGCTGCAGTGTATGTATAAAAAAAAACAAAAAAAAAAAAAACAGAAATTTGTATGGTCACTGGTAAGCAGTCAGTGCTTGGTATTCAAAATAATAATTAAATCCTGGTGACACCTGCTGTGATGGACTGTGCCACTAATCAATCTCCTTAATTCCTAATTTCTTTTTATACTTTATTGTTTTAGTTTGTAACTGTTGATATTCAGTTATTGTTTTCTTCCACAGTTGGCCCAATGCAGAGTAAAGTAATTGCCTCCGCCTCCCCCCTCCCCCTACCAAGCGCCCAGCAGTCATTGAGCGGACTATACGCGATAGCTCTTCATATCAATCAGAGTCCTACCCCTATTATCCCACATGGCTCAAGCCCACAAGGCTGTGACTTAAATCGTGTCCAATCATTTAACATATCTCCTTTTTAGCCCTCACATGACACATAATTAACCGAGATACAATTCTCCTCGATTTACATTTTTAACTTCATTTTTATTTTTTATTTCACATTTATTTTTGTTGACTTTGCTGGCCATTGAATTTATTATTTTAGCTTAACCAAATGTGGCAAACAGCAGCCTGTCATGTTTCATGTCCCACAGAGCTAATGGTTTTTGCTCACCAATTTAATATATAAATGGGCGCAACTTCTCCATAGCATTGCTTACTACGGTTACTCATGTATATCTAAAGCTTGTAATATTGTCAACATTATATCTTTGCCTAAACACAATAGGGAATTTAAAAAAATATATATTAAAGTCAAAATGTTATATAATACAAAATATTCTAGTTTACATACATCAATAAAGATGTCATAGGATTCAAGATAGAAGTCTGAAAACTGAAAATTCCACACACTGTTTCAGAAATCCTTTCTATGTTACATTAATCGTTGAAGACGTAGGTACTTTAATTAGTTATTATTAGCTATTACCACTAGTAAAAATGTTGATTATTATCAATCATCTCAAATTCTTAAAGTGTAGGATTTGGGGAATTCTAAATACTGCGGAAATAAATATATCAAAAAAGGTTACCTTAAAATAACAAAAATATGTTCTGTATTCCCTAGATAATTCTATTCAG